CGTTATACCGATAGCATCAGAAACTGGAACAGAGGGAACTTCACAAGCAGCAGAGTCAACGAGTGCTAGTGGGGAAGCAGCAACACAGATACAGCAACACAGTATCTTTCCTAAACTTCCTTCTTGAGGTTGGCGTCGAACACTAACAGCAGCACATTGCACCTCCAGCACACCCGACTGCGAAGTTGGCTTCGCCCAAGCGAGGGCGCGACCATTTCCCGTCAATAGAACCTGTAGGAACAGGTCCAAGCTGCGAACAGAACCTGTGGTGATCACAAGGATGGAGAGCCTTGGGGAAGATGCCTGCAGTGTTGGCCTCTAAGGCCACAACGACCAATCGTGCCTGGCCGTGTCGTTGTAGCTTTCGCAAGAGGAAGTACCAGAGCTCGATATGCTTCATTTTTCCCTCCAGTCCAGCCTACCGACACAGGATGGTCATGGCTTTGTTGTCAGCGGCCAAGGTCGGGGAAGAGCTAGGCCGCTCACCTAGTTCAATGAGCAAACATGTCAGCCAGCGGAGCTACTGAGCAGCCATGACACCGGCGTAGATTTCGGCCTCAGCACTGGACAAAGCCACAGACGACGCTCATGTCGACCTCCACGACACATTTGCATAGCCCAGGCAAAAATAGTAGACCTGAACGACCTGCGAGTCTCCTCGTCGTCTGCCCACGACGCGTCAGTGTGCCCGGTAAGTCGGACTGGCTGTCACCCTCCAAGCACAAGCCCCATGCCTGATGTGGTCGCCCGGTACTTCGCTACCCTCTTAGCGGGAGACGATGTCTCCCAATCGCAACCAAGCGAGCAAGGATGCTGAGAGAATAGACAAGGTCTGATCGAGTGCAATTCATCAGGTACATGAGGCACCCCACAAGCTCTGCGTACGGACTACTAGGCTGAGCCGGCTCGTCGGGAACAGGAGCGGTGAGCTTATGGTCGACAGCAAAGGGACTGGGCTGGGTGGAGGAGAACTGAAAGCCGAACCGTTGGAGGACCTGCTGCACCATGTGTGACTGAGTCAGAGTGATGGTGCGCGCTGCTCTGTCTCTGGTAATCTGCAAGTCAGGATAGTTGCGCAGCTCACCAAGGTCAGTGCAAGTGTGTCTCTTCAGTAGTTCAGCCTTCACCGAAGCCAGAGCAACCCCGCCTACAGTAGCAAATACCAAGTCGTAAACGTAAACGAGGATGAAGAATGGCGTCGACCCAGTGCGAACGAAGAGAGAAGGGTCAGCAGGGGATGGGAAGAAGCCGAGAGAAGCGAGAGTAGTACGCAGAGTGTCGTGCCACTCACGGGGTGCCTGGCGCAGACCGTAGACTGGTCGTCAGAGGCCACAAGGCCAATCAGTGAGTATAACTAAACAAAATCAAACCTAGTATAGTGTACAGAGATCAAGATTCTAACAAGTCAGATACTGCTGGGACAAGGCCAAGCTATGTGCAGAGGCGGTTTTGACCCCTGAGGCTAAGTGTACTACGCGTGCCTGGCCGTGCTGCTGCAGCTCATGTAGTAGGAAGTACCGCAGCTGGATGTGCTTCGCTCTGCCCTCTAGTCTGGGCTCGTGACAGAGAAGGATCATGGACAGGTTATCAACGAGCATGAACAGAGCAGAGCTAGATGGCTCACCAAAGTCAGTGAGGAAGTACGTCAGCAAGCAGAGCTCCTGTGCAGCCATAGCACCAGCGTAGATCTCTGCCTCAGAGTTAGACTGTGCACCGATGACGAGCGAGCCGACCTCCACGTGACCACTCCTGCGCGAAGGCTGAAGAAGTAGCCCTGAGAGGACCTGAGAGTCTCAATGTCGTATGCCCACGATGCGTCAGTGTGTCCCGTAAGTGCAACTGGCTGTCGTCCCCCGAGCACAAGCCCCAAGCCTGATGTACTAGCCCGACAGCGCAATACCCTCTTAGCAGCCTACTAGTGCTCACGTCGGTGTCTCCCAGTCGCAACAAAGCGAGCAAGGATGCTGAGAGGAAATGCGAGATCTGTGCGAGTGCAGGTCATCAGGTACTTGAGGCACCTCTCTAGCTCTTCGTACTGACCACTGGGCTCGACAGGCAAAGAAGTAAGCTGTGCAGAGGAGAATTGAAGGCCGAAGCGCAGGAGGATATGCCGCACCATGTGTGAATGAGTGAGAGTGATGGTGCACGCTGCTCTGTCCCTGGTGATATGCAACCCAAGATAGCGGGGCAGCTCACCTAGGTCAGAACAAGCAGGTCTACTCAGCAGCTCGGCCATCACCGAGGCCAGTGTGACTCTGTCTAGAGTAGCGAAGACTAGGTCGACTACGTAGACCAGCATGTGATTCAGAGTAGAGCGAGAGGTAATAAAGAGAGACGGGTCAGCAGAGGACGGGTCAGTAGTGTGTTGTGCCACTCACGAGGAGCCTGACGCAGACCGTAGATGTGGCATCGAAGGTTGCACTGGGCCCTAAGAGGAATGGACCCAGTGAAGCCAGGCGGGTAGCGGAGGAAGATCTGCTCATAGTCGCGCTGCGCTGCGATGTGCAGCAGTACCCGAAGAGTGGTTATCTTCGGGGTGGGGGAGAAGGTCTGAAAGAATTATACTCCCTATTGCTGACTAAAGCCTCTAGCCACGTAGCGCGCCTTGAAGACAGGCAGCAGGTGGCCGCTTCATCTTGAAGATCTACATGACATCGTCTACATTCACCCCAGGGGAACTGCATCAACGTAGGTACGTGTCGACCTCCAAGATGCCTTCCCTACATCCATGGCTACTATCCACTAAGAGACCCAGGGTCCCGAGACTGCCTAAGTGTAGGTGCGAGGGGTTGGGATGTCAAGAGCATCTGGGTCAACCTCAGGGGCTAGCAGCATGGCGCTGAGATGAGGAGCACCCCCGACTGCAAGGACAGCCAACTTGTAATGCCTGTCCTCTAGGACGTTACTGCCAAGGGCAGGAGCACCCCCGACGAACGGAGGATGGGCAGAGCAGAGACCAATGAGTTGCGTAGTCAAGGTGGTGGGTGGAGGCAAAATCAGCAATAGCAGCGACTGGAGCAGAGACGGACGGAGGAGGAGCAGTGGGGTCGATAACAAGGGGGGAAAGGACATGGGAGACCGTAGGGTGCGCGGACCCGGAGACCCTAAACCCCAAACCATGCAACACATATTGTAGGCTAGGTTGGGTTACTCCTTAGAGGGTACGGCATTTGTACTTATGCATCCTGTACGCCCAGTTGTTAGCCATTTCTGTTCAGTTCTACTTCTTGACAGGGGTATCGGGGTACCTCGGTGAGGGAAGCAAGTGTAGAAGCAGACAGACTCGTCAAAAGTGACGTCACGAGAGCGGAGGCAACGGTGAGACGAAGGCTGGTAGACTTCCACTTGGACTACTCGTCGTGCCTCCCCGATGTGTGTGTATGTGTGTGTGTGTGTGTGTGTGTGTGTGTGTGTGTGTGTGTGTATGTGTGTGTGTATGTGTGTATGTGTGTGTGTGTGTATGTGTGCATGCGTATGTGTGTATATGTGCGTGTGTGTGTGTGAGTGTGTGTGTGTGTGTGTGTGTGTGTGTGTGTGTGTGTGTGTGTGTGTGTTGTGTGCGTGTGTGTGTGTGTGTGTTTGTGTGTGTGTATGTTTCAATGTGTCTGTGTTTGTGTTTGTGTCCGTATTTCTGTGTTTGTCTGTCTGTCTATCTGTTCACCTGTCCATCCGTCCGCCTATCCGTTCGTTCGTCCGTTCCTCGTTTGTTTGTCTGTCTGTCTGTCTGTCTGTCAGTCCGTCAGTCAGTCCGTCCGTCTGTCCGTCTGTCTGCCTATCTCTCTGTTTGTCTAGCCGTCCGTCTGTTCGCCCGGCGTCCGTCATTCAGTCTGTCCGGCATCATTGATGTGGTGGGTCCTCCGATAGGACTTCTATCTAGTTGCTCAACCTGTTAGGCTTACAGTATGGCATGCTGATGGCCTGCTTGACTAGATCAGACCGTACCGTATGGTATTGTGAATGGTGGTTATTACAAGTAGCAATAGTTAGCCAATCCTTTCTGCCTTGCCTTGGCCTGCATCAATGTAGAGGTTGTAATCGTTGATACAAGAGAAGAGAATGGAACTGTCTAGCAGTGGCAAAATTACTTTGCGTCATGTATACGCTGAAGCCTAAACATTCCAAAGGACTGTCATTGTCATCCCAAGCCTACCTATGTACTAGAGTCAACACGGGTGGGAGCATTGCACGCCCCAACTAGCCCGAGAAGCTCGTGCAAAGCCTTGCTCCTCAAGGTTGGCAGAGGAGGTACGGTAGCAGAAGCAGACCCATTAAGATGCAGGCAGGAAGGCACGAGCCAACCACCACCACCACCCACCCAGATCTAGTTAGCTTTGGCCCAGCCCAGGCTGACCAACCCAGTCTCCAATCCCTCCACTCTCTCAAGCCCCTAATCAATTGGGTTTACCGTATAAAAAAAAATCGCATTGTAGTCTCTCTTTCACTTGCAGCAACAGCCTTAACTGATTCGCATTCACACATTCACTACATGAGTCGATTGAACAGGCATTTGCCCTGCGGCACTAATAGCCCCCTTGGCCCATGCTGGTGAGGTGTTGAGAGGAGATGCAAGGGCGTGCATTCTCCAGCTGCAGTGAAGGCTTTAGAGGGCTGCAGGCTGTCTCGGCGCTTGCTTGGACAATGTTTGCATGAGGTTAGGGAGGGTGGTTAGAACAGAGTGGTTCGGAAGAGCGGATCGGGAAGGGCGGTCAGGAGCGGGGAAAAGAGGACCGCGCAGGCACAGGGTCTTAAGAGAGGCAAGGTGGCGAGGAGAGCAGGTGAGAGAAGGGGGAAGGAGGGAGGAGGAGATGCGGGAGGGGGGCAGGAGGTAGAAGGAAGGAGCAGAGAGAAGGAAGGGGGGGGCGAGCGAGGCATGAAAAGGAAAGGGGGGGGTGGGGTAGGGTGGGGGGACTTGGCAGGAAAAGAAGCTTTTGAGAGTTCTCAAAAGAGATAAGGCTGAGAGGGATGAGAGGGAGTTGAGAGGGATGTGGTGGTGGTGAGCGTCAGGGAGGGCTGAGCTGCTCAGAAAAGGCTGCTTCCATGTGTGGGCTTGTGAGCTCCGTGTCGGCAAACATGGACCCATCCTGCCCACCCAGCAGCACCACACAGCAGAGCATAGAACCGGGCAGCACAGCACATCACAGTGCAGCATAGCAACAAGGGGGCACAGAATGGAGGCAGGACAGGGAAGAAGAATAAGCAGAGGAAGAGGTGTAGTAGTCATTGCAATGTAGTGGGGAGTTTGATGAGGGGGTAGCAAGACGCCTAGGGGAGAGGCAAGGCAAGGCAAGGCAAGGCAAGGAAAAGCAAGGCATGACAAGGCAAAGCAAGGCATGACAAGGCAAGGCAAGGCAAGGCAGGGCCTAAGATGGAAGGGGTAAGGTTCTTCACAACAAGAGGAGGAGTTTGAGTGGCTGGGAGAAACCAGGGGCAGAGAGGCTCGAAGAGACCAAAATTTGGAGAACGACAATCGGGAGCAGGAATGAAAGCGGATGGGAAGCAAGGGCGAAGATGCACATGAGGACGAGGAGAGCACTTGCAAGTAACTAGTAAAACCGTGCAGGGCAGCAGGACACAGAGGCAGCAGGACACAGAGGCAGCAGGACACAGAGGCAGCAGGACACAGAGGCAGCAGGACACAGAGGCAGCAGGACACAGAGGCAGCAGGACACAGAGGCAGCACGACACAGAGGCAGCAGGACACAGAGGCAACACGACACAGAGGCAGCAGGACACAGAGGCAGCAGGACACAGAGGCAGCAGGACACAGAGGCAGCAGGACACAGAGACAGCAGGACACAGAGGCAGCAGGACACAGAGGCAGCACGACACAGAGGCAGCAGGACACAGAGGCAGCAGGACACAGAGGCAGCAGGACACAGCGGCAGCAGGACACAGAGGCAGCAGGACACAGAGGCAGCAGGACACAGCGGCAGCACGACACAGAGGCAGCACGACACAGAGGCAGCACGACACAGAGGCAGCAGGATCTCACCTGCGGCCATATAAGGTGGATAAGGTCCTCTGTATTGCCGCTCGCCGCACGCCCCCCCCCGTCTAGATGCCGCACATCTACCCCACCACCCATCGCCATCCCCATCCCCATTCCCTCCATCTCCCCCCCTCGCGACCCAACTAGCCCCACGCTCTCTGATACCAGTGCTCCTCCTCCCAGTAACCTCTCCTGCAGCTGCAACTGCTGCTGCTGTTGCTCCAAGCTGCTCTGCAAACCCAAGCTTTCCACTTGCCCCTCTCCGATTCCCTCGCCTGCCCTTCCTCCCCCTCCACACATCATGTCCATCTCCCAGTCTCCAGTCAGCCACGCGTCCGACACTGCCATCCCTATACCACCCATCACTTCCGCTTCACCCTCCCCACGCCCTGCTGCTGCTGCTGCTACTGCTACGCCTGCTCCTCCCACTCCCCCTTTCCCTTCGTCTACTGCTGCTGCAGCTCCAGTAATCCCACCAAACTCATCATCAGCAGCAGCAGCAGCAGCAGCAGCAGCAGCAGCAGCAGCTATCCTGCCAGTGGCACAGTCAGCAAGTGCAGCAGTTGCTGCTGCTCCTCCCCTCTCCATCATCACACCACCCATCTGATCCCCCCCACCCACCTCCTCCTCCATTTTAACCTTCAAGCTCTCACCCCCACCCTCTCCTCCTCCCTCTCCTCCCGCCCCCGCTCCTCCTCCTTCTCCCCATTCGTCTCCTCTCCCCATCCCCACTCCACTTCCCCCCATGCCTGCTCCACTCTCGCCCACTCCCTGCCTCGGGCCGTGCATAGAGCTCTGTTCAGAGACAGAGGGCTCTCTACACATGCCGCCTGCACCACCCATGCCCTCCGTGCCCTCGCCATACGACCGCACACCGCCAGACACACTCTCCTGCTCCACACCCATCCATTGCTGCCCCTCCGCCCCTCCCATCCCCTCCCTCCTCTCATTCGACACTCTTCGCCTCAGCTGCTGCTGCTGCTGCTGCTGCTGCTGCTGCTGTTGCTGCTGCTGCTGCTGCTGCTGGTGCGGCTGCTGCTTGTTTGGGAAAGAGTGTTGCTGCGAATGGGACGCAGAGGGAGCGCCACCAGAGGAGTTGGCAGCAGCAGCACTGCCCATGCGAGCACGGCACAGAGCCATGAACTGCTCGTCTGTGAGGGAATGCGCCAACCGCTCTAGATCCCCTCCCACCTCCTCCTCTTTCACTGCCTTCCTCACTGCACCCGTCAAACTGCTCGGCCCAGCAAGGGACATACCGCCACCACCACCACCACCACCGCCGCCACCGGCACCGGCAGCAGCAACAGGGCTGCCGATCCCTCCGTGGTTCTGCCCCAGCTGGCCTTTCCCCTGCTGCAGCTCCTGCTTCTGCTGCTGCTGCTGCTGGTGCTGCTGGTGCTGCTGGTGTTGCTGCTGCTGTTGTTGTTGCTGCTGCTTCTGCTGTTGCTGCTGGTGTTGCTGCTGCTGTTGTTGTTGCTGCTGCTTCTGCTGTTGCTGCTGCTGCTGCTGCTGCTGCTGCTGCTGCTGCTGCTGCTGCTGCTGCTGCTGCTGCTGCTGCTGCTGCTGCTGCTGCTTCTCCCGTTGCTGCTGCTGCAGCCGCTGCTGCTGCTGCTGCTGCTGCTGCTGCTGCTGCTGCTGCTGCTGCTGCTGCTGCTGCTGCTGCTGCTGCTGCTGCTGCTGCTGCTGCTGCTGCTGCTGCTGCTGCTGCTGCTGCTGCTGCTGCTGCTGCTGCTGCTGCTGCTGCTGCTGCTGCTGCTGCTGCTGCTGCTGCTGCTGCTGCTGCTGCTGCTGCTGCTGCTGCTGCTGCTGCTGCTGCTGCTGCTGCTGCTGCTGTTGCAGTTTCTGCAGCTGCTGCCTTTGCCGCTGCTGCTGCTCCTGGTGAGCCCGAAGCTGCGCCTGCAGCTGCTCCTTCTGTCTCCTCATCTCCACCTCCTGCTGCTGTGCTGCCCCTGGCTTCTCCCGCCCCTGCTGCTGCTGCTGCTGCTGCTGCTGCTGCTTCAGGAACTGTAGCAACAAGTCATTGTTGCTATCGGGAGTGCTGGTCGAAGAGCCTCCACCCCCACCACCACCACTGCTACCACCACCCCCACCACCCCCACCACCACCACCACCGCCGCCACCACCGCCGCCACTGCCACCGCCACCGGAGTTGCCGCCGCCACCACCACCAAAAGCGCCAGCACCAGTACCAACAGTACCAGTGGCTGCTGCTGCTACAGCTCTCGCAGTGGCAGGGTGGGGAGAAGAACCCCTATCTCTAGCTACCCCCTCCCCTGCTGCCATTCCCGCACCTGCTCGCTCTGTTAGTCCCGCCCCTGATGCTCCCAACCTTCCTGCTGCTCTCAGCTGCTGCTGCTGCTGCTGCAAATAAAGCATCTTCTGCTGCTGCTGTTGCTGCTGCTGCTTCTGCAGCTGCTGCAGCACTAGGGGAAGATTTTCCGGGTCGAATCCCGGCTGAGAGAGAATACCCGCAATGCTGATGCTACCATCTGGAAGAAACACGCTCGACAGAGCACCACCGCTCCCCACTCCTGATTCCACCATACCACCCGCTGCACCAGCTCTCGTTGCAACACCACCACCAGCACCAGCACCACAACCAGCAGCAGCGAGACCTCCTCCTCCTGCCTCTCCTGCAGCAGCAAGCAGCTCCCGAAGACCAAGGGCAGCAGCTGCTGGGTCCATGCCTTGCAGTTTAGCCTGTGACAGAAGCTCGGCTGCAGCCAAGGAATGGCGAGATAGACCAAGCCCTCCCCGGTTGCCACCCCCACCACCTGCTGCTGCTGCTGCCGCTGCTTCCGCTGCTGCAACGGCAGCGATGTGGTTCGACTGAAGCATCTGCAAGCGTGCTTGTAATTGCAGCTGCTGCTGCTGCCTTTGTTGCTGCTGCAGCAGCTGCGGCAATTGGGTTTGCTCCTGCTCTTGTTCCTGCTGCTGCTGCAGCTGCTGCTGCTGTTGAAGCAGCCGCAACAGGTGCTGCTTCTGTAGCAGCTGCTGCTTCTCGCCTTCTAGCCGCGCTAGAGCAGGGTTTTCAGGGTTTAAGTGTGGAAGCAAAGATGGGTCCACTTGCCCTGCTTGCTGCAAATGCTGCTGCTGCTGCTGCTGCTGTTGCTGCTGTTGCTGTTGCTGCTGTTGCAGGTATAGAAAGGTGTGCACATGCAAAGAAGAAGGGGAAGATGTCAGTAAGAAGCGAAGAAGGAGAACAAATGGCAAGGGCAAGAGGCATGGAACGGATGAAGACGGGAGCATCAACACGTGGTGGTGATGATGAGACCATGTGCCTCAGTGTGCGTGGTGGTGACTTTTGAGTCGACTCAAAATTCGTGATGATGAGACCATGTGCCTCAGTGTGCATGACCATGATGGACATGCAAAGGGTAACACCAAGTGAGTACAATCAGCGAGTACTAGTTCCAGTGAGTAACACAAAGCGTGTGTGCAGTGCAGAGCACACTTGCCTGTAGCTGCAGAAAGCGGAGCAGTGTGGTCGGCTCCACTCCAGCAGCAGTGGCGACAGACGTGAGGTGCTGCCATGCCATGGGATGTGCAGGGGTGGACGAGCGGGCAGACGAGCAGAGGACATGCAAAGGGGTTTTGAGTCGACTCAAAAGTCATTTCAGTGGTGACAGACGTGAGGTGCTGCCATGCCATGGGGCGTGCAGGGGTGGACGAGCAGGCAGACGAGCAGAGGACATGCAAAGGGGTTTTGAGTCGACTCAAAAGTCATTTCAGTGGTGACAGACGTGAGGTGCTGCCATGCCATGGGGCGTGCAGGGGTGGACGAGCAGGCAGACGAGCAGAGGACATGCAAAGGGGTTTTGAGTCGACTCAAAAGTCATTTCAGTGGTGACAGACGTGAGGTGCTGCCATGCCATGGGGCGTGCAGGGGTGGACGAGCAGGCAGACGAGCAGAGGACATGCAAAGGGGTTTTGAGTCGACTCAAAAGTCAATTCAGTGGTGACAGACGTGAGGTGCTGCCATGCCATGGGGCGTGCAGGGGTGGACGAGCAGGCAGACGAGCAGAGGACATGCAAAGGGGTTTTGAGTCGACTCAAAAGTCATTTCAGTGGTGACAGACGTGAGGTGCTGCCATGCCATGGGGCGTGCAGGGGTGGACGAGCAGGCAGACGAGCAGAGGACATGCAAAGGGGTTTTGAGTCGACTCAAAAGTCATTTCAGTGGTGACAGACGTGAGGTGATGCCATGCCATGGGGCGTGCAGGGGTGGACGAGCAGGCAGACGAGCTGAGGACATGCAAAAAGGTTAACTAAAGGACTAGATTGTGAGGCGTTTTATCAATTGAGCAAGGGACGATGCCAGGGGGCTTGATTATTGAATACTAAAGCAAGGAGGAAGGAGAAGGGCAGCAAGGGAAGTGACGGAACGAGGAGAGAGGAAGGGAGAGGAGGGAGACGGAGAGAGGGGTGAGGGAGGGGACAAGGGAGGTAACGAGGAAGGGAGGGATGGACAACCGGAGCATGCAGCCCACCCTTTTAACGCACTGTCTCCTCTCAAACCAACCTGCAGTTGCTGCTGTAGCCTGCTTCCCTGCCCAACTGCTCCTACTCCTCCTCCTCCTCCTGCTACTGCTGCGCCAACTCCTCCAGCCAGAAGCGAATCTAAGGTGGTCACAGCTCCCACCCCACCCCCTCTCCCCATCCCCATGCCAACCCCACCACCACCACTACCTCCTCTCCCTCCCCCTCCTGCCCCCACTGCTGCTGCCGCAGCAGCCGCTCTGCTGCCATCCGCCACGCCTCCTCTACCCATGCCCACATCCGCTCCTATTCCTGCCCCGCTCTCCACTGCCCCACCTGCCCCACCTGCCCCACCACGTGCCATTCTCTGCAGGTGCAGCAGCATTCTCAGCTGACCTAGGTCGCCCACACCTTCCCCCACCCCAGCACCACCAGCACCCAAATCCCCAGCACCAGCAGCAGCGGCGGCAGCAGCAGCGGCGGCGGAGGCGGCAGCAGCAGCAGCGTCGATCCCTCCCAGCCCAGCCCTGTCCCTCGACAGACCAATGCCTTGCCCTGTTAAGAAAGAGGGCGAGCTCATTCCACCGCCTCCCCCAACTGCTCCTTTTCCTCCTCCACTTGCCCCTCCTCCTCTCCCCCCTGCTCCTACTCCTCCTACTCCTCCTACTCCTCCTCCTCCTCCTCCTCCTCCTCCTCCTCCTCCTCCTCCTCCTCCTCCTCCTCCTCCTCCTCCTCCTCCTCCTCCTCCTCCTCCTCCTCCTCCTCCACCTCCTGCCCCTCCGCTTCCTCCTGCACCAATCCCCTCAGCCCCCCTGCCAAGCGAATCCATTCCGAACCTCACCCCAGACGAGCCGCCGGACCAAGATCCCGTGCCGAGCCTCCCTCCGACGCTAACATCCTGGGCCGCTCGAGCCCTAGCCAGTCCCCCCATCCCTGCCGCTGTCGCTGCAGCTGCCACTGCTGCTGCGGGTCCTCCTGTTGCTACGGCTGCTGCACCTGTGAGAGCAGCAGCTGCTGCCTCCACAGACCCGTGCTTCTGAATCAGAGAGAGAAGCATGGCATTGTCAATACCGCCTATTATGTCACTGCTACCATAACCAGCAGCAGCAGCAGCGGCAGAAGCAGCAGCAGCAGCAGCGTCATCATCAGCAGGCGTCGTAACGGCCACCTTTGCTCCCCCCCTATGCAACACCTCTGCTTTCTCTTCTGGCCCCTCTTCTAATCGCCCCATCACATCACCTCCTCCCATGCACTCCCTGCCTGCATCACTAGCACCGCCACTCATACACCCACCACCACCACCTCCTCTTTCTCCACCTCCTCCCCCACTGCATCCAACTGAAGCAACAGCAGCAACAGCAGCAACAGCAGCAGCAGCAGCAGCAGCAGCACTGCCTCTGTTACCACTTGCAGAGCCCATGCCCAACCGGTTCCCTTCATAAACCGGCCTCTCTCCCATCCCTCCCCGCCCTGCCCCCTCTCCTGCCACCACACCATCACCCGTAGACCCTCCCCCTGCTCCCCCAACCCCTTCCCGTCCTCCTCCTCCTCCCCTTCCCTCTCCCCCCACCCCTCGTCCTCCCCCACTCGCACTGCCCGGAGGCCCCCCGCTGCTGCCGCTGCCAACAGCGGCAGCAGCGGGAGGGGGAGCGGAGGAGATGGGAGCAGGGGTGGAGGAGAGAGCAGCAGACGAGGGAGTGGCGGAAATACCGGAATCCGCCATGCCGCTGAGGCGCTTCAAATACAGGCGGTACTTCTGGCAAGGGGAGGGGGTATGCGCGTGGGGAGGTGGGAAAGGAGGAGGCAAGGGGGGGGGATGGGGGAAGGGCGGGCGAGAGAGAGGGATAGCGTGAGAAAGAGGGAGAGAAGCAAGCAACCGGGGAAAAGGCAGGAAAAGGCAGAGAGCGGGGAGGAGACGGAGTAAGAAGGGAAGAGGGAGGGGGAGCGCATGTATGGTGAATGGAAAAGGAAGGAGACGGGAGCACGCACGCCTGCCTGACACATGACCAGCTCAGCTTGTGCCTTGTGAAGTGGCAACGGTGAGGTGGGGGAGCGCTTTCAGCGACCTCTCAAAACCTTGTGGTGTGGTGTGGTGTGGTGTGGTGTGGTGTGGTGTGGTGTGGTGTGGAGTGGTGAAGTGCGTGAAAGACTGATGCCTTGTGGTACATTGGACTAGTCACTACTGGATAGCCATAGCTGTCTAGTTGCGGTCCGCGGACGGACACACACACAGCCAGGAGCCATGACACCGCATGGGACAGGATGGCTTGGCAAGGTCTGGCATGGCCTGGCATGGCATCTGCCATGGCACAGCATCGTACGGCATGGCACAGCACGCCATGGCATGGAACGGCACGGCACGGCACGGCACCGCACGGCACGGCATGGCATGGCACAGCACGGCATGCAGCATGTGGGAGAGGCATGGCGTGGGCGAGAAAGCAGAGCAGAGAGCAGCAGCACCTGCAGGTGACTAGCGACGTTCTCCCGTGTGAGGCCCGGCACTCCCATCATCTCCAGTATCTTCTTTGGCACCGCTTCTGCCCCACGCCATGCACATGCACGGCATTGGGAGGGGAGTGGGGAGGGGAGGTTCGAGAGGGTTGGAAGGTAAATGATTAAGTCCGACTCAAAAGTCATCGCCCGTGTGTGTGAGCCCTGGCACTCCCATCATCTCCAGGACCTTTTTCGGCACCGCTTCTGCCCCACCCCATGCACATGCAGGGCATTGGGAGGGGAGTGGGGAGTTAGGAAAGCGCGAGAGGGGAAAGAGGGGAGAGGGGAGGGTAGTGGGGGGGAGGAAGGGGAAGTGGGGTGGGGAGAGGAGGGGCTTAAGGAAGAGGAGAACCAAAGGGGAGGTGTGATATAGGGATGGTGGAGGGAGCGAGAGGATGGGAGAAAGGAAGTGATGTGCAAAGCAGCGGGGTGGGATTGGGATGGGGAGTGGAGGGGGAAATGGGTAGTACGCCTTTCACTGTGTGGAGTGGAGCCAAGTGAGTTAGTAGTAGTCTAACACAACAACAGCACAGGACATACCCACCCACTTCCTCACCCGTACATATCCAGCCTGCCTGTTACATATCCCTCACTTCCTCCCTTCCCCCATCGATTCTCCATTCCCCCAAATCCTTACTTCCCAAACCAGCTCTTCTTCCTTCCCCCACCAGACTCTAACCGGCCCAGCAGCATCCTGCCAATCATAGGCTCCTGGATCAAGGCTGCTGTATTGCCATCACCCAACAGCACAGGACCGCACAGAACCGCACAGCACAGCACAGCACAGCACAGCACAGCACAGCACAGCACAGCACCGCACAGCACAGCACAGCACAGCACAGCACAGCATAGCACCGCACAGCACAGCACAGCACCGCACAGCACAGCACAGCACAGCACAGCACAGCACTCACTGTCAACTCCGAGGTGGTGCACGGCCTTGACAAACTGCTGGTGCAGCTCCACGCTCCAGATGATGCGAGCCTTCTTCAACCCGCCCACCATGTCGCCCTCCCCTTCCTCCACCACATACGGCAACCGACCCATGAACCCCATTCCCGCACTCAACATGCCGCCTCCTCCACCACCGTCCCCACCACTCCCAAACCCGGCAGCAGCAGCAGCAGCGGCAGTTTCAGCGGCACTCGCACCGACACGAAAGTCTTCCCCTGCGTCGCCGCCTTTCATTCCTTCCCCACCGCCCAACCCCCCCCGCTCCCCTAAACCCTCCTCCCCAAAGGCCGCCTCCACGCTTCGCTTTCCCAACCGCGCCCCTTCACTAATAGCAGGAGACCGAGGGACTGACGCCCCCTGCCCTGCGCCTTCCCCCCCTGCCCCTCCCCCTCCCCGTGCCCCTGTATCTGCGTCTGGGTGTGTAGACTCCCACTCGCCAAGGCCTCCGCCGCCCCCGCTGCTGCTGGCAGGGTCGTGAGCGCCGTCCCGCATGCGCCTGAGCTCCTCCTCCTCCACGCTGCCTGAGTGCTCCTCGCCCTGCACGCACACACACACACACAGCATATGACACATGAGGTGACTTTTGAGTCGACTTAAAGGGCTGCTGGCAGGGTCGAGCGCTGAGCGCCGTCTCGCATGCGGCTCGGCTCCTCCTCCTCCTCCACGCTGAAAGAATGCTCCTCGCCCTGCACGCACACACCGCACACGGCACACGGCACACCCACACGCGGCACGGATACGTGCGGCACGCACAGAACACGAAGGGAGGGAAGGAGGGAGGGAGGGAGGGAGGGAGGGAAAGAGGGAGGGAGGGAGGGAGGGAGGGAGGGAGGGAGGGAGGGAGGGAGGGAGGGAGCGGTACAGGGATACGAGTGTGAGGCAAGATGCTGGGGGTGGTAATCGCTCAATGGCCTCAAATGCTTCTCAGATGCATGCTTTAGGGGCGGAATGGGAAGGCAACACGAGGGGAGGGACGGAAAGGGGAAAGTGACAACAGGAAGCGGAGAGGGTTCAACCGTTCAGGACGAGTAACACGGAGGACAAAGAGAGGCGACTGGAGAGAGGGAGAGGAGGAACAGGAGAGAGGGAGGAAGAGACGAGGAGAGAGAGGGAGGGGTGGGGGTGGGGGAGGTGTGGAGGATGGGAAATGGGCGCAGGTGGGAAGAAGACACAGCGAATGGAAGGGGAGGAGGGAGGGGAAGGGGAGAGGAGATAGCACGAGTAGATCACCTTAGCAACCTGAGGAGCCTAAATGACCTGACTGAGAAACCTGAGCATATTACACACACACTCGTATGTGGAATGAGCGGAGCGAAACGACTGGAGTGGACTTGCCTTGGCGTGGTGGTGGGAGCGGCGGCGCACAACGTGCTGCCAGATGTTGCGCAGCTCCTCTATGCGCACGGGCTTGAGCAGATAGTCCACTGCCCCGTGCGTTATGCCCTTCATCACCACACTCGTCTCGCCGTTCGCACTCATCACTGCACGCATGCATGCACATGCACAGACAGATATGCCGCACGCACACAGATGCACACGCATGCACACACATGTTCACACATGCATGTGTGCGCGTGCACGCGCTCACATGCATGCAGACAGGCGTGCACACAGCAACACATGCAAGAACCACCACACATGCATGCCATGTGCAGTGGTGCACACAAGGAAGGCACCAGCGCGCAATCTCCTATGACGCACAGACCACCCAACCCAAGGCATACACCCCGAGACAGACAACATATACCATTCCCCCTTCTCTTTCCCCACCACCCACCCCCAACACACAAGTGCAGCAGGCATGCACAGAAACACATAGATGCGCACACACTCATGCATGTGCACACATAGAAGTAAACACACGCACGTGCAATTCACATGAGTCCACGACGCACATAAAGCACCCTGCAAGCCACACACATGGTGGAAAGAAGCAAGGAAGCCAAATGCCTAGCACGCTAGCACGGCACGGCAGCAGCACGGCAGCAGCAGCAGCAGGGCAGCAGGGCAGAAGCAGCAGCACAGCAGCAGCAGCAGCAGCAGCAGCAGCAGCAGCAGCAGCAGCAGCAGCAGCAGCAGCAGCAGCAGGGCAGCACGCACTGATGACAGGGAGGTCCATTTCGAGGCCGATGCGTTCGAGGAGCTTAAAGCCGTCCATGTCGGGCATGTACACGTCGCTGATCACCAGGTCGTACGCCTCCCGCCCCTCCCTCAGCAGCGCTAATGCTGTCGTCGCCTTGTTGCATGTCGTCACTGGGGGGTGGAGGGAGTGCGTGGGGAGTGAGGGGGGAGTGAGGGGAGGGAGAGTGTGGGGAGAGCGTGGGGAGAGTGTGGGGAGAGCGGGAGGAGAGTCTGGGCAGAGGGTGAGCGGAGTGTGGGTGGGCAGAGCGTGAGGAGAGGAGATGCGTTCGAGGAGCTTAAAGCCGTCCATGTCGGGCATGTACACGTCGCTGATCACCAGGTCGTACGCCTCCCGCCCCTCCCTCAGCAGCGCTAATGCTGTCGTCGCCTTGTTGCATGTCGTCACTGGGGGTTTAGTGACGGGGGAGTAAGGGGGGAGTGAGGGGGGAGTGAGGGGGGAGTGTGGGGAGAGGGGGGGAGAGTGTTGGGAGAATGTGGAGAGAGCGCGGGCAGATTGAGGGTACTAGAGTGAGGGCAGAGCATGGGTAGGGTGCGCGGTGCGTGGGTGTGGGGGCAGCGGGAGAAGGGCGGCAGAGAGGGATGGGGAGAAGAGGGGGGCCTGAGGTCGATGAGTAGGTGGCAACACGGCTGGATGGATGGATGATTGGAACTTGGATGGTTGTGGAGTGGTGTGTGGAGAAGAAGGAAGTGGAGTGAAAGCATGCTCTGGCGCACACGAGGGGGGGGAGCAGAGGCTGAGAAGGGATGGAAACACGGGTCAATGGGACTGGCAGGCAGAAATGCATGCTGAGCCCAAGCACAGTCCGCAGCAGCAGCAGCAGCAGCAGCAGCAGCAGCAGCAGCAGCAGCAGCAGCAGCAGCAGCAGCAGCAGCAGCAGCAGCAGCAGCAGCAGCAGCAGCAGCAGCACCAGCAGCAGCAGCAGCAGCAGCAGCGCGAACACCCTGATCACCCTAAGCACAACGTGCTCCACAGGAGGTACTGCCGAGGGGGCTAAGGTGGAGAAAGAGGGCGAACGGGAAGGGGACGGCCCAGGAGTGTGGTGAGGGTGGCGGGAGGGGGCCGATAGGGGGGGAGCAGGGGAGGGAGAAAAGGGGGACGAGCGGGGGGGAAGGAGGGGGCGGGGGTGGATGACAGAAGGAAGTACTTTGACACTTGGCGCGCTTGGCGCTTGACGCACAGTGGTGGGCACAGCGTGACATGACACAAGCCCACATGCGCCTGCATGCTCTAGGCTGATCCGCCGTATCAGTCTATCAGACACCGGGGATGGTTGGTGGTGAGAGAAGCAAGAGGATGGATGGCATGCAGGCGCATGTGGGCTTGTGGTGACAGCAAGCGGCAAACGGGCCTGTTCTTCTTTCTCTCTCCAGCATGCGGGTTCCCTTCCCTTCCCAGGCCCCAGCACGCAGTCTCACGCACCCAGGGCCACCCCCAGGCGAGCGAGCAACACAGGGCCACGCCTTGGGCAAGGCGGCAGTGTGGCACGATGCAGCGGTGCGGCAGGCAGCGCGGCAGCACGGCAGCACGGCAGCGCGGCAGCGCACCTTGGTAGTTGCAGCGGCGCAGCATGCGTTCGAGGATCATGAGGCACAGCGGGTCGTCGTCCACCACCAGTACGCGCATGCCCCTGGGGAAGAACGCCGCCGCCGCCGCCGCCGCTGCTCCCGGATTCCCGCACCCCCCCAACCCCCCTGCTCCCCCTCCCCCTCCTACTCCTCCTCCTCCTCCTCCGGCTTCTTCGTCTGTTCCTGGCTGCATTATACGTGCTGGGTCTCAGCTACTCGAAGCTTGGTTCCGTGCTGCTGTTCCCACTCCACACCCTGTGGCTCCGCTACTGCCAGTTCCCAACTGCTGCTAGTTCCCTACTCCTCCTCCTGCTGGTGCTGCTGCTACTGAAATCAATCTGAAAGATAGCCTTCCGATTCCGCTCCTGCTCCTCGCCCCCTCAGCTCTTGCCGACTTCCTTTAACGAGGACGCTTCAAAGAGGACACTCCAAAACGCCGGACAACCCTGGTGTTAGCTGCAACGGCAACGACTCAGAGCCGCACGAGCTCTGCGGTGGCAAGGCAAGCGAGAGAGAATCTGCTTGCTTGACCTTGAACGATCTCTCTCACGTAACAAGGGAAAACGAAGAATGCACACGGCACGGCTCGTTCGTCCCACGCTGCTTGCCGCGAAGGCTGCTTAGAAAACGTCTATCAGCGCAGACATGTCGTTAGGCCTTCGAACGCTGTTCATGCGCAAACCCTAATTTTACTTTTCGACAGTAAATCGATTTTTTTTAGCTGGCGCTCTGCGATGCTGAAATCAACGGCGCCGTCTATCACGCATCCCCTACCCTAGATCAGCGGTTCAGTGGAACAAGCGTAAGGTTAGCAAGATCCGACTTTGCATGCAACCTGTGGAAGATATCTGTACAGGCGCTTCTGGATTTATTCTACAATTAGAAGAACAAGAAACGGGTTCATGGCGTAGCGCAGGGAATGTCAGTGGTGGTGAGGTATTCGTTGGGCCATGAGACAAGGAGACCAGCATCCAAGCATCATGCGGCCAAGCAGCGGCACGTGGGTCCTACTCTGATTGCAGCGTCGCAGCTCCTACGTAAGACCGAGCATCGAAAGCTAGGAACTTTCGTCAGCCTTTCTAAAGAGTGCTGCAGCTGTTGCTCCTGCAACGACGAACTACAATCACTCATGCTTCTTCCGCCACTCCGTTCCGTCGGAAGTGGCGAGCGAGGCGTGGCGCACGGTGTGCCTGGGTGGTCCTCGATTCGATTGGAATAGGTTACGGGAAGGGAGAAACAGAATACAGTACAGAACTGAACACGGTGGCACGGCTTGCCTGCCTCCTGCTCTCCACGACACTGAATAGTTCCTTTCTGCAGCTTTGCCTCCCGAGTTTCTGCCTTGTTTTGCCGTGTGAATGGGTGGGGTGGGGTATGCTGGTGGTGGTTCATCTCTTTAGTGCGGTAACGGTGGTCGGCTGCGTTAGGCAGCGTGGACGGAGGGAAAAACAGCTTTTCCAGAAAGGCTTGGCGGGGCATTCATGCCACGTCGGGCCGACGAGATGCAGAAGTTAGATTGGCACTCTTGGTGAAGTGAACTTTTACGTCATTTAAAAGCAGCTGTAAATTTATCAAATAAAGGTCTTTTTCCGACTGAAATGCTGTATGCACTTCTTATCCCCAAGCGACGCGAGTACGACTATCGGAATTGCCTAAAAAATAGCTGCATCTAGCCTCTAATTCTTAAACAACACGGGTGTCTACTCACCTGACACAATCAGAAGCATCGCATGCGACACACAAAGCGCACAAAGAAAAAAAAAATCAAGCCGGAAATCCTGCTAGTGCCAAAACGCGATACGAACGCCACGCGTCACCACGCCCCCAGCCGTGAAACTTGCTAGCACCAGGTCGCGAAGCGTGCGCCACACGTCACCGCGCCCCTAGCCGTGTCTCGATAGCAGCAGGTCGCATAGCGTACACCACACGACACCTTGCCCCCAGTCGCGAATTCAGCTAGCACTAGGTCGCGAAACGTAAGCTTCACGCCAACGCGCCCACGGCCACGAATCCCGCGAGCAACAGGTTAGCGCAGCGATTGCTTCACGCTACCCTGCCCACAGCAGCGATTCCACGTAGGAGCGCGTAGTGAAGTGACGGTTTCACGCCATAGCTGCGATTTACGCTAGGAGCAGGGACCCAAGTGGACGGTTGTTGCTTTCGCCCCTGACGCCACAACTCACGTTAGGAGCAGGATCTGCAGTGGACGTCTTCGCGTAGCCGAGTGTGCAGCTGGTTTTCCCTCGCTAGGAGCAGGAACTGCAGTGTGCGTTTCCTCGTTACCACGTGCACAACCAGGTTTTCCCCGCTTGGAGCAAGATTAGCAGTGTTCGGTTTCTCGCTACCCCGCCACACGGGCACACCGGGCTCTCTTGTTGCTAGGAGCTGGAACTGAAGAGCGCGGATCTAGACAGACGCTACAGGATCCACGGCATGGCCGACTTGCAGCACGAGCACACACCTACGCAGGCACCGCATGGCGAGGCGGAAGCACTTGCTGACCCAGACAGGCACTCAGGCACTAGCGCTCGGGAGTATGTAGCGCAGCCCCAAGCAAACACTCTCAAGCGGCCTTGGGTAGGCCCTACGCAGCCGCTCCTCCTCGGTCTCCGGCGCCTGAGCTCGGTAGACCGACTTTGCTCGGAGGGGACACCATGCAAACGACACCGCGAGGCACCAGCCGCCCCCATGAGTACCAACGACATGCTCGGTGTACCGCCGCTCTCAGGAACTTCGCAGCGGCTTAGTAATGGGGATGCTCAGCCTCCTTTGGCTGAGGCACCACTCACGGTTGGTGAACAGCGGGAGGCGGCTGTTACCCCACGCACGCCCTCGGTAGACCAGCAAGCATCGCCCAATTGCCCACACGCATCCTCTGGGCTGGTGGATGCACAAGACACCCGAGGGGTAGATGGGCGTGGGCAGGAACCAAGTGATCCGGGGATGGACAGGGCAGTGGCGGCGTGGGAGGCGCAACGCCGGCACTTGCAGGAGCTGCATAATAGGCGGCGGCGCGAGCTTCCACTTGGTGCCACGGCAACAGAGTCGCCCGGCACTCTTGAAGCTTCAGTGGGTCCTAGCAGGGCTCCACTTGGACCGCGCTTGGCACGACGGCAGGAGCTGAGGCGTTTGTTGGTAGCTGGCACGGGCGGTCGGCAAGAGTGGGCGACGGCAGAGCAGGCGGAGTCGACAGCGGGGAGGCAGGAGGTGCAGGGGGCCCTGCTGGCGGATGAGGGCCGGGAGTGCGGGGCAGGTGGGCAGCAGGGGGTGACGGATGCAGGCCTGCCGGAAAAGGTGCTGAGGAGGCAGCCGAGCCGTCTGGCGGAGGGCCAGCTGGGCCTGCCGACAAAGGTCCAGGGGGAGTTACTCGAGGAGGAGCATTGGGAGCGTAGGGAACAGGGACGGAAACCAGGGAGGGAGCAACCGGAAACGCTGTCGGCGATGCAGCAGGGTCTGCCGGTGGCTGCAGGGGAGACTAGAGACATCAATCCCTTCCCGAAGGCACGAACGGGGGCGTCTCTAAAGGGATGGGCTGGAGCTGTGGAACATACTTTTCGCTTTCGGAGCGCGCAAGGACAAGGTGTGCAGCCCGCGAGCACGGGGCAAGAGGGCGTGCGCCGTCGTGGTCGAGGTCGCGGTCGTGGTCGTAGCGGGACTGCTCAACGAGGGCGCCTCGCGGGCCAGCACGAGCAACAGTCGGAAAGGCAGCCAAGTGAGTTGCAGGAGCAGCAGTTTGAAAGGCAACAACAGCGGAGTCAGCAGGGTGGGCTGCCTCCCCGGCAGCATGAGCAGCTGGGCGAAGGTCAGCAGGGATGGCAGCCAGGAGAGCAGCAGAAACTGTGGCTTAGGGAGCAGCAGGAACTGCAAATGAGGGAGCAGCAAGGAATGCAGCCAGGAGAGCAGCAGGAACGGCAGCCAGGGGAGTAGCAAAAACGGCAGCCAGGGGAGCAGCAGGACATGCAGATAGGGGAGGAACAGCAGGAAATCCAGATGGGGGAGCAGCAGGCACGGCAGCCAGGAGAGCAGCAGGAAATGCAGATGGGGGAGCAGTTGGAACTGCAGCCTGGGGAGCAGCAGGAGCTGCAGCCAGGGGAGCAGCAGGAAATGCAACGGGGGGAGCAGCAAGAAATGCAGCCAGGAGAGCGGCAGGAAATGCAGTCAGGAGAGCAGCAGGAGCTGCAGCCAGGAGAGCAGCAGGAAATACAACGGGGGGAGCAGCAGGAAATGCATCCAGGAGAGCAGCAGGAAATGCAGCCAGGGGAGCAGCAGGAAATGCAGCCAGGGGAGCAGCAGGAAATGCAGCCAGGGGAGCAGCAGGAAATGCAGCCAGGGGAGCAGCAGGAAATGCAGCCAGGGGAGCAGCAGGAAATGCAGCCAGGGGAGCAGCAGGAAATGCAGCCAGGGGAGCAGCAAGAACTGAGGCTGGAGGAGCAGCACCCGGGAGAGCAGCAGGGGCAGCAGCTGGGCACCTGGGTGGGTGATACATGGGAAGTCATGGGTGTAGCGAGCCCACTTCGAGTGGAGCAGCAAGAAATGGAGACAGATTTGGTGCCTGTGTCACAGCTCTCGGGCCAACAAGATCTTTTTGTTCCTCCTGGGGAGCTGCAGATAGGGGAAACGGATCAGAGAGGGCAGCAGCTGCGTGAGCTGGGCGCTCAGGCGCAGGGGCCCTTGGACGACCAACTGCCACGAGGCAAGGGCAGGAGGCGACGCGGAGGCCAGGGCAAGCAGCGGTCGGGCAATCAGCAGGATCAGCAGGCAGAGGGCGAGTTGGGGCGGCCGCTTACGAGCCAACGTCCGGGAGGCCAGCTGGTGCGACGGCGGCCACTGTCAGGGGAACAGGGAGTGACTGCAGCACCTGAGGGCGTGCAGCAGGCAGGGGGACAGCAGGGAGTGACTGCAGCACCCCAGGGCGTGCAGCAGGCAGGGGGACGACAGGGAGTGACTGCAGCACCTGAGGGCGTGCAGCAGGCAGGGGGACAGCAGGGAGTGATTGCAGCACCTCAAGGCGTGCAGCAGGCAGCGGGACAGCAGGGAGTGACTGCAGCACCCCAGGGCATGCAGCAAACAGCGGGACAGCAGGGAGTGACTGCAGCACCTGAGGGCGTGCAGCAGGCAGGGAGCAGGGACTGATTGCAGCACCTCAAGGCGTGCAGCAGGCAGCGGGACAGCAGGGAGTGACTGCAGCACCCCAGGGCGTGCAGCAGGCAGCGGGACAGCAGGGGGTGACTGCAGCACCTTAGGGCGTGCAGCACGCAGGGGGGCAGCTGGGGGCGAGGGCAGCACTTCAGGGCGTGCGGCAGCGGCAGCAGCAGCGGCAGCAGCGTCAGCAGCAGCAGCAGCAGCCCCCCCCGATCCCTCCGGAAAGCCCCACACCGGGGGTTGCGGAGAATTCAGCCACTCCTGACACGGCTCCACTTGCTCCAACTTGTGTCCCTTGCGAGTTCTGCTTTCACACATTTCCACCTGGTGGTGCGGCCTCCCGCCACATAGTTGCATGTAAAGCGGCAGATGCTCAGCGGCGGGCTCAGGCCCTTACTTCCTCCCCGAACCTGAGCGAGGTCTTCGGGGCAGATCCAGTACCTCCGCGGGATATCGGCGAGGAGGTGTGGGGGGCGGTGCCTTCGTGGGACTGGGAGACTTTTTTCAGTATTCATTCTGTGTCGGGAGAGCTTCTTCGTCGGGTCCCGCAGCGGGCGCGACTGGGGGTGCTTGATGCATTGTGCTGCATTCTCAAGAGACTGAAGGCTTCCCCTGGGGATGAGGCGGCGACGCTGATGTTCCTGGCCTTCCCGCGCCTCATTTTGGGAGTCCCCGCGAAGGAGGGTCTTGGACGAAGGGCAGCCATAGTAGGGCGTCTCGGAAAGTTCTGGGCAGGGGAATGGCAACAGCTGTTCGAGGCTGCCTCTGCCGCGTTGACTCCGGCGGCGCGACCTCTTGCCTTCTCCTTACCTGAGCGAGATGCTGATGCCATCCGTTTGGCCCGATGCCGCACGAGGTGCCAAGTGGGGGAATGGAGTCGAGGACTAGCATGCCTTACTGCGGGCGACTTGGCGCAGCCCTCTCAACTAACAGTAGACCGGCTGACAGCAAAGCACCCGGCCAGTGAGGTGCCAGTTCCTGAGTGGGTGGAGCACTTTCGCATAGACGTTTCTCATCTTCCCCACCTAACTGAAGACATCCTCAAGCATGCTATTCATTCCGCAGCGCGAGCCTCAGCACCAGGCCCCTCAGGATGGATGACAGTGCACCTCCGAGACACATTTCTCTCGGAGCCTTCCTATCTCCCGCATCTGTTGGAGGTGTTCAGGCAGTGGATTTCGGGATGCGTTTCTGAGCGGGTGCGGCCCTGGCTTGCAGCCTCGAACTTGGTTGGGTTATCCAAGCCGAACGGGGACGTCCGCCCAGTGGCTATCGGAGAGGTGCTCCCTCGGATTCTGGCGCGTGCGTTATGCGTTCTTCTTCGTCCCGACATGGAGACCTACTTCGCTCCTTGTAACCAACTAGGGGTGGGGACTAAGTCGGGGGTGGAGATTCTGGCGCATGCTTTCCGCTCGGCTGTAGCGGTTCATCCGACGTGGTGCGCGCTGCAGATCGATGTAGCGAATGCCTTCAACTCGTTCCATCGGCACGTGATGTTCGACGACCTCCGCGATTCTCCTTTTGCTGGCCTTATCCCTTTCTTACGCGTCTTTTATGGGGTGCCCAGCGGTCTGTACCTTCGCACAGGCCCCTTTGTCGAGATGCTGGCGTCCGAGCGGGGTTCGCGACAGGGGGATCCATTTGGTCCCTTCCTTTTTGCTTTCACGCAGCAGTTGGTTATGGGGCCTACAATGAAGGATTTCCCTGATCTTCTTTTCTTGAGCTACGCTGATGACACCTACGTTCTTGGCCCGCGGGAGCGGGTGTTGGCGGCGTACGATGTCTTGCGGGAGCGACTGGAGTGGGTGGGCTTGGAGGTGCAATCGCACAAGTGTAGGATGTGGGAAAGAGGGGAGGCGGCAGCGTCTGGGGATATTCCGCTGGGAATGCAGCAGTCGTGGACGGGGTTAACAGTGGTGGGGGTACCTATTGGAGAGGAGGATTGGGAGGTGGCGCGCTTGAGGGAGAGACTTTTGCAGCTGCGATCACCTCTACCTTGGCTTCCTATTTTGAACCACCCCCAGATTGCCTCCCACTTGTTGGCTGTTGCCGTGTCTGCGCGGCCGCTCTTCTTGACTCGCACTGTTCCCCCTCGTCCTGAGGTTCTTGACGCTTTCAGAGATTGGGATGGGGCTTTGGAAGAGTGCTTTGAGCAACTTTTCCCGCCAGACACTTGGGACTTCAGTCCTGATAGGTCGCGCATGGCTCACCTGCAGCTGCACCTCCCGGCTCGTTTGGGCGGGTTTGGCATTCGTTCAGCAGCAACTCTTAGCCCTCTCTCTTACGTCTGTGGGTGGTGCCAGGCTGCGAGTGCTGTTGTCAAGCTGGGAGTAGTGGGCGAGGAGCAGATGTTCAGTGAGTTCTTCCGCACTCCGCCGGCTGGGGATTTACTGGACCCTTGGTTTACCAAGGCCCTTGACCAGCTCCCGCCTGTTGTCAGGCAGGAATTGCCGAGTTTGGGGCTCTGCACTACAAATCCCCCCCTCCAGCTTTTCCCAGCGCAGCAGCGTCGCTTGGCGGTTGAAAGTCTTCAGTCTCTGCGGCGCATGGCCCGCGATGATGCTACCTTGGCCCGTTTGACTTCCCTTCAGGGCCCGGGTTCGGCAGCATGGGTGTCCGCAGTTCCAGCGCATGATGACGCAACTTTCACCCCTGTGGAGTGGGGCATTTCGGCGGCAATCCGTTTGGGCCTTCCCGTCCACCAGCTTCTGGTTGCTGGCAAGTGTGTTTGCGGTGTGGAGTTCAAGGACCCGTCAGATCCGCACCATGCTCTTCGGTGCAAGTACCAGTACGCCCCATCTCGTGTTCATGATGCAGTGAAGCTCGTTGTTGCTAAGATAGCCAAGGCATCGGGTGGGGTGGTTACGATCGAGGATGACACGCTTCTGCCGGGGAAGAGAGTGGATGTGGCGGTTAGGAAACCAATGGACGGGGAAAAACATGCGCTCGAGGTGAGCGTCGTGGATCCGGTTTCGCTACCGGTGCAGCAGCATGGGCAGTGTGGGCGGACAGTAGGTTTTGCTGCCAAGGAGCGAGAGAAGAGGAAGGCGACGGATTATCAACCTTTTCTGCGGCAGCACAGGGGGGTTCGTTTCTTCCCGTTGATTCTTGAGACTTGGGGTTGCTTGGGGGGAAGCTTTCGACAGTGGTTACGGCAGCAGGGGGAGGTTCAAGTAAAGGTGGCTCTTAACAAAGGTGTGGGAAGGGGCAACAGCTCGGGTTTCTCGGAATACTTGGTGGGGTCCTTGACAGCCGCGGTAGGGGTAGCTTTGCAGAAGGCACAGGCTCGGGTGATTCTTTTGCGGGCGGCATACACGTTGGGTCAGTCCGAGGCGGAGTGGGTGGAGCGAGGGGGTGGGGAGCAGGAGTTTGGAGAGGGAGCACCATGGGTGGACGTGCCCTACTTGGTCGACATGCGGCTGTAGATGTCTTAGGAAGCAATACTTTGTTTCGGGTTTTGGCGATGGTCTTTTGATGTTTGAGGTAGTAAGACACTTCTAGGAAGGGTTTATGCATGTCTGTATGCTTGTTGAAATATAACGAAGCATGATTCAAAAAAAAAAAAAAAAAAAAGGATTTATATCTTTATTGCATTGCAGATTTATAAGGTTTGTGGGGAAATGAAATAACGAAACGCCAACATTGGATATGTGGTTTATGCCGGTTCGGTCAGAAAGCAAAACATGTTTATCAGGGCGCTTTGCAGGGCAAGGCATGCGCGCAGTTGCAGCAAGTCACCACCATCGACACTCTGCAAAGAATGGGAGAGAATTGCTCCAGGGCCTTGTTTGGTGATTCGCTCTTGCCCACGTGTCCCCGAATTGCTCGCGTGGCCATCCAATTCAGTGATAATTGCTTGAGTGGCCACGCCAGGGCATTTTCGAGGTGTTTTGTTTCCCCGACACATTACCCTACAAGGGTTTGTATCCCCGAAATTCCTCGTTCGCACGAGTCTCATCCCGCGGTAGTGTTTCGTACTATTCCCCACCCGAAAATTTCGAGTGGGTGGCGAGCGCGAACGTGGCCCACACACTGTACACAAAACCGCGAAAGTAGCACGCGTAGACGGCCGTGCATTTCAGTATATGATCGGGGAATTATATGACTGTGCTCGGATTGGTCATTCTTTGGACCGAAATTGAGCGCGATATGACTGTTCGCCTAGATTACCGTGTTATGTTTTGTCGTGTATCCGAATAGTGACGTGGCCGCGCTCGCGCACGTCAGCCTGGCGAAATTTTTGGGCGGAGAATAGTAAGCCACGTTTACGCGAAAAGAGACACGTTCGTTTCGGGAATTTCGGGGCTAAATTCCTTGTAGGGTAATGTTCCGGGGAAAACAAACACCTCGAAAATGCCCTGGCGTGGCCACTCGAGAAATTATCCCTGAATTGGACTGCCACGCGAGCAATTCGGGGACGCGTGGGCAAGAGCGAATCACCAAACAAGGCCCTGGAGCAATTCTCTCCAATAATGGATGTGCAGTAGAAAGAGCCTTCAACGAAACACGATTTATGCTGACGTGGACATTCATGATTCGTGATGGGTTCGTGCTGATGTTTCTGCTGCACAGCACAGCAGTACAGCACAAGGACGTGAAAGTGGGGGCGTGTTATCCCCGATACTGTAACGACAGCCGGTTGTGTCATTCCTGATAACTGGTGACACAAGTTAGTTCATACCACCTGGGGTCAGGAGAAGATTTGTATAATTGAGAATGCAAGATACGTTTCAGGTCGATGAATTCTCTTGATATATATTTTCATGCTTGCTAGAGCGACTCGATAGGTTATCAACGTCGAGCGTTGATTTTTCATTGTGTTTTTGTGATGCTTAGGGCGGCGTGCATCATGCTGTTTTGGGGGATCGCGATCCCAAGCGATCCTTGTGACAGTGTATTGTTGTATATATACAGTGATTACTGTAGCGGTGATGAACCACGACCCTGTGGGCTCGCAACACATGGGTCACCAACCACCCAACCACCCTCAA